TAGTAGTAGTAGTAGTAGTAGTAGTAGTAGTAGTAGTAGTAGTAGTAGTAGTAGTAGTAGTAGTAGTAGTGGCGGTGGTGGACCCAGTTGACCCGGTGGCTATGCTAAATCCCAGTTGACCGGTTGACCCGGTTGAGGTCAACTGGGTCAACGAGGTCCAGAGATTTAGCGTGGCCCCCTGTGCGGTCGCAATCCATGTGTTTGTTTGTTGCCCGTTCTGTACGACTCGAAAGCACATCTTTGCGCTTGGATCAACCACCTGTGATGGACATTGGGCGTTCCCAGGCTAAGATTAAATCCCAGTTCCACAAAGGGTTGGCTTTTAGCACCGTGAGTGCACTCTGCTGCTACCTCCAGAAACTGGTCCCTCACAGGTGGGTTCTCGAACCCACCTCACCAGGAAAATCCAGGAAACATGTTTCAAAGACCAGGTCATCAAGACCCAGATCCGGTCATTGGTCATTGACCTATCATGAGAGGTGTTCTCCAGGTGCGAAAGCTCCGCATAAAACCCAGCCCATACCCAAATTGGACGCTGCAACTTCGACGATGCCTACGATGCCTACGACGCCTGCGCTCCTGGTTCGTCTCTTCGTTGGTCTGATCCATTGGGCCGGCCGTGTTGAAACTGGGCACGACTGGCCGGTCGCAGTGCAACAATCTACAGAGTTGTTTTCAGCACCGAACAAACCTTGAGCCAAACGACTGCAAATGACAAAATCCAAACTGGCTACAACATGATGATTTCCAACTATGACTTATAACACTTTAACAACATGGATGATTGCTGACCCTAATAGTTTTACAGAACACACCCTGCAGTACAAGTTGATGATGACGAAACATAATGTTGTACAAACGCAGGGTTCTTGTAAATCTTGCCGATCGTCCAGCGGCATACATCGGGGGAAGGAACAGCTAGAGTGTTGCAGCCAGACTGCTTGAGTGTGTACTCGAGTTGGCTTGTGGTTGGCGGAAGGAGCAACATACATGTATTGAGGAGGTGTTGGCTACCTATGTGCATGCAAATGCATTGATGACATATAGATGTCGGTCATTTACATTATTGTTTAACCTCTAGATTTTATAATAAGTATTGAACAGCCCTTCCACATTCCATTGAAACATCATGTTCAAGACCGTGGACAGCATGTGCAAAAAACAACGCCCGCGATTCCTCGCGTAGGAACCAACAACGCTGTCGGCATGGAACTGACTTTTTTCAGTCTTTAATAGTGGAGCAGCTCAGGTGAGGATGTACAGTAGCTCTTTTGGGATAAAACATCATGGGAACAGGGAACACGGCAAACATCCAAAGTGGGTGGAGAAACATGGTCAGGAACAGTCCAACATGTCGATCAATAGCATGGTTTCGACTGCACATGGAGCGTCCATCCGAAAAAGTCCTGGGCATCACCGCTGCGCAGCTTCGCAGCTTCCCGCGACGAGACTCCCGGGGTGCCACGCAATGGGGCGACCCAGAACAAGGTCATGAGGCTTGGAGCGAGGGCGTGTAGAGGCCAAAGGGCTTGTAGAGTGGAGTGCCCCCCATGGCATTTTGGTTTCACGGGTGCGAAAGCAAGGAATGGGGCTGGGTGGATCTATAAATAAATCAGTGTCAGTGTGGATTCGTTCCCCGATTCACTTTCGTCGCACCAGTCTGTTGGTCGACTTGGGTTTGCTTTCGCTATCGTTCTCTGGAGCTGATCGCTTCACTACGGCCAAGTCGTGAAGTGCCCGGTCGAGTAGAGCGAGACATGGGGGTCATCTGAAAGGAAGCAGCAGCTCAACCAAACTGGGGGTTTGCCGGGAACACAAGACCAACACCTGCGTAGTGGCTTGATGTTTGAGCCACACTCATGTGCACCCATGAGTGCACGGCAATGGCTGGCGGCGGCTTTTCCAAACTCCCGGGCTCTTATGCACGGCAAAGAATGTGAGGGTGAGAATCACACCCTCACAAGCATTCTGCTAATTCGGTGGACACTGTCTCTTCAATGCAAGAAGCCGATGTCAGGGATTCAATTTTTCATATTTGTCTGAGTCGACCACTGAAAATAACAAACCTGTATTATTGACTTGACATGTGCCGGGAGAATCCAAAACCCGGGGCGACAGCCTGCATCTTGGAGGTTAGTTAATTGTTGGATAGTTTACAGATCCTTGGCAACCCAAAAATACCAACACAATTCGTTTCTCTCGGAGGCATCACCAGGATTACCTTTGGGTGGGATATCACTTGGGACGCCGGAATCAGCCTGCTGTTTGTTTGTACTCATGACCTCCGTGTGGAGATCCAAGTCATCCAAGTCAGCCACAGACCAGCCCAACAGCGGCAGGGAAAAAAACACCAACGACCCTGCAGCGGTCTTGGGTCAGTTGATGGTAGTTTCGCCCCCAAAAAAAATCAAGCCATCTAGGTAAAACATGGTAAACATATACATGTACACATACACACATATATATATATATATAAGTATACATGGTGTTCTCCAAACCATGGCAAGCACCGTAGTAGAACCTCCTGTATCCATGTATACCTGTACACTTCACTCATTTTCATTGCTTCAAAGATCGGATGCCCCACCGCTCTGCTCCTCCGCTCCGCTAAACGCTCGGGTGTCACAGGGATCGGAAGTGACCTCCCTAGGTCTCAGCGTCGCCGTAGCGCCGTAGCGCCACCCACAACGTGTGCTGAGCTACTGGATGTTTTGCCAGCATGCTTACTCAGGTCTCCATGTGTTGTTGGGCCAAGGCGAGGGTTCCGACCAGTAAACAAAGTAGCTGAATTTCACACAACTTCCAGCAGGCATTCAAAGTGACCTTTTGAGATCCTAGGATGTGGTCATTTAGGCCTGTAAAGGGTTACTTAGAAACACCAAACATGTCGCTTGGAAGGTCCTGTTTTGAATACTCTTGGGTCTCCTCAAGACTCTTCGGGCAAAACCGAGATGGTGCAGGTCTTGATATGTGCAACGAATCCGCAGGTCAAGCAACAAGCACTATGAGCATAATGAGCATATAGGTTGCGTTTTAAAAGGTTGTGCTTGTCTATTTTTCCTCCTTTCAGGGAGCCTGGAGTTCTTCCTATTCTAATACGCACCCATAGAGCCGCCATCCAGTTCATAGGAAACACCATGAACCACCCCTCATGAAGATCCAGTGTAACATGATGTACAAGGATCTGCATCTGGAGGCCATTCTGAGTCTGAACATCTTTTGGACCATGAAGCGGCGCAAGTAGAACAGCACAATCTGACCCGATTTGCAACACGGCGGCAACATGTGTGAGTTAGACACACAAACACGCATGTATTGAATGTATCTTAAATGTAGTCTCTTGATGTCTCTTGATTGATACAATGTAACCCATGTGGATTGAACAAATTTGAACAAACATGAAAAAGACCTGGTAGTACCGGGGAGTCTACAGGAAGGGAAGCTCTTCATCCAATCTTCCAGACTTCTGATGATCTCCCAGGGAGTTCTTCATATTACTCCTGTGGACCAGCTTTGAAATTCGCAGCCCCTTTAGGGCGCGGAATCGTGCCGTCAATCGTGCACTTCGCGTCGTCAATGATATCTGCGCGCCGTGGTCGAGAGGATGTAGAATCAGTAGAAAATCCAACCCGGAGACTACAGCAGGCCAGAGTACTTCGGAGCACCCGGGTGTACATGAAACCATGGGATGTTCATTTGCGTTTTCAGAGTCAGTCTTTAATCACCAGGAGCAACCAAACCCTAGAAAAAAGATGACCTCTTTCCGAAAACCCGTGTTTGGCATACAAGACGAACGAAAACCCAGTTTTTCTGATAAAAAATTGGTTTCTCATTAAAAACTGGGTTCTCATGTTCAGAACCCGTGTTTATCCTGTGCAAAACCCGTAATTTGCCCGGGAAAACCCGTCTTTTGTGAATTGTTTTTGAGAAACCGGGTTTTAGTTGCAAAAACTGAGTTCTTTTTCAAGACCCTACATGTTTCTTCTAGTTTTTGGATGGTCTTGGCAGCAAGACCTAGGGTGATAGGGTACGGCTGTGGGCAGCGTCGAAAGATTCAGTCCAGAAGGTCTGCTATGGTCCGCTGAGCTGTAGGCCATTCATTGCCATTCCAGGTTGATACAGCTCTCTGTTCGAATAATTACTCTCCCATATAGCCCTTAATAAGAGGTATCTTTACCTCTCTTGGTGGAACCATCTCCAGTTATACCATCCACCTATTCGTGGTCGTCTCAGCGTTCCGGCTCGCTGGAACCCACGCACAGCTTCCCGGACTCGCTCGTTGACACCATATAGAAACCGTAATACACCAAACACCATCCGACACACATTGGGTGGACAAGTCCAGGTTGAAGCCAGTCTTGATGAATTCAATTGGTGCCTTCTTGGTCGGAATTTATGAATAAGTACTCGTCCGTGGAGGCTGCGTACGTTTTTCTTCTTTTTTGGAAAACCATGACTTGTGCAGAACAAACATTGCATTGTTTTCATGGAAAGGTCTTCAGACTACAACAACTGTAACTGGGAACACCTAGTCCCTAGTCGGAGCCATTCCGACAGAAGCCCCGCACAGGGTGGGTATATACATAGTGGTAAATCGATATACACAGGACACGAATATTAACAGGTGCCAAACAGTTCCAGGAAACATGCCCTAAGGAGAGCCCAAGATTGACTCATGACTCATGACCTCCTCTTAATCATCATGGTTCTCTGCCTCTCTCTTGCGCAGCGAAGGAGTCGGCACCCAAATACAGCTTGAAATGACCAAAGTGCGGCCCGAGCGAAGAAAACAGCTGGCATCTCCTTGTCAAAAACTCTTGTGCAGCAGGTAAAACCAAGCACCACTGAATCTCCTTATCTGACGCAACCCACTACTGCACAACTGGACAACAATACCTAGAACCTCCTTGCAAAGGGATAGACTGACGAACTTCTGTCATCAAAGTGGGTACCGAACATCACCCTTTAGGAAAAACTGGTGCTCACCAAGAAGGTCGAACTACAACAAGCATCAATCAATATAGATTGTATCATGATACAAGTCATCCGTCATTGGAAACTACAAGCATCGAGCGCGTTACTGGATGCTGTCTCCAATGCCCAGGTGTGACGTTTGCAGAAAACATAAAATAATCGAATTCAAAGAGACCCTAGTAGCGTCCTTGCTCCTAGTAGTGAGGCCAGGAGCCCCCAGTAGCTTCTTGTTACTAGCGATGCCAGGAACCCCGTTCGTAGCGTCCTTGCTTCCGTGCGTATGCCTCAAATAGGTCCTCACACTTGATGGCATCTTTGAAGACGTCGAAGATCCAACCAAGGTCGATCTGACTCACGGGGATGAGAGATGTTTTTCTGCCCCAAGCCATCCGAAGCCTAGGGCCCACTTTCAGGGTCCTGAAAAGCTGAAAAGCTCTTCCCGCCTGAATTAATCTCGTGAGGCTGGGGAGTCTCACAAGCGTCCAAGAGCCATGTCTTGAACATATTCAAACCTTGCAATGTTGAACAAAGCCTTGGCAGGTGTTCTTTCTCGTGACTGATCAAACCGCTGTACTTGGCCGTCAATTCATCAAGTTCATCCAAGTTGACACACACATCCCAAATTTGTGCTTCCAAGATTTTGCTTCGGGCCATGCAATCCATCCTGTGTTGGTGCCATTCCTGGTGCACATCCAGTTACCCTTTCCGCCCTCTTCCCCCCTCTTCTCTCAAATTCTCAAACACTGAGAGTCCGCGGTCGTGATATCGTCCACGGTCATAATCAACAGAGTCGTCCACCCAGTCGTGATCGAGAGGCTTCCCCACACCCGGTAGAAAGGTGACGCTTCAGACTGCGTCCGTTGCGAAGCCAAATCTGCACTTCTCAACAGGCTTGTGCCATGGCCACTAACTCCAAAGCCTTGATTCTCCTGTTGGAGCTTGTTGATGTCTTTGTTTGTTGTCCGCTGGTCAGGTGCACCTTTACAAACTCCGACTTCTTTAGTGACGCTTCTTGACTTAAAAGACGTGTCAAAAGGTTTTGATTTCACGGTCAACTTATCAACGATCGTGCGGCGATTCTGCGACGTCCGGAGTGACCCAAACCGGGGAGTGACCAGGCGCGTGATGGGCGCTCGGTTATGATTTCGAGAGAACAAAATATAATCAAAATACCTGCATGCAGCAGGTATTTGTTAGTAAGTAGAGAATCCCCTGATTGTAGGGGGGAATGGTCTTGCAGGGGTCATGCTCATGCCCACTTCCATGCTTGTTTCGGTCAGTGATTTGGTGAGTGCGGTGAGGTGCATCCAACTGCCAAAGAAGCAACACATCCCGCCGGTGCCTTGTCCATGTCGCCAATTTGGTCCATGTCCAACTGTGCCGGAAGTCTTAGCATGGCTGGCTCAAAGAGCGAACTTGACACCCATTGCTTGCTCAGTTCTTGCTTCAAAAGGCAGCAAACATCTTAACTTGCTGCTTGCATGTACTTTATCCCACACAAAGAAACAAACGTTAACATGGAGTTATCTGCACCACCGTATTCAAGAAGTTTCCTCAGTCAGTACATCTGTGCCAGCTGATTTCAAAGTCTCTTGGGTACTCAAAGGCTTTCTCTAAGGGGAACATGTCCCGCAGCCCTATATTCAACACGCCATGAGTCATGTTCTTCTAGGAATTCAGGGCCACAATCCAGCAAACCATGCCGATCTTGTCTGAAGGCAGCAGAATGGATCAGGGCATCTCTACTTTCAAGGACTTTTGAGAGATACTACTCATGGGCCAGTTCTTCTGCACCTGGCTAAGCATTTGCCTCATTGCTGCACCGGTCTTGACAAGCAATATCATACGGGGCCTTACACCGTTTCGCTTGTGACACGGAGCCGCTCCACCGCCTCAAAACACGGAGACGACCAACGGCCGCGGCTGCAATATCCATGGAGACGACCCAACCGACAGCTTGGTCCCAACATGTCCCAACCGACCACCAGAGTTCTGGCCCAAGCAGTGGACTGGGGTGCCGAAGAAGAACACCTCGGACGTATTGGTCAATGACCTCTGTTGAGCCGGCCACATCTTGAGGATTGCTGTACAGAGCTGGAAAGTCGAGTCAAGGAAGTGAGCAGAAAGCTCCACGTGCACAGTTTTGGTGGACACATCAGGCTCGAAAGTCTCGAGCATCCTGAAACATGGCTGACGACCGGAAGCCTGGCCTTGGGCCAACAGGCTTTTCAAATGTCAGCCTGAAAACAAGATTTGAAGCGATTCAATTCTGGCATGAATGCTGCTTTCTGCAGCTTGAAGTGACACTTTGCGGAAATGCATCTGTGTCAGCTCTCCGCATCCAACTTCAACGTCCACCTGTGACTCTTGCAGAAATGGCGCACCTCCGGCTGTAAAACTGATGTAGATGTACTGGGTGAAGGCAATTGATCTGAGGCCAGGATGGAAGAGATTTCATATACATGCCTATACATGGCCGAATCAAATCATATATTAACTACATCATACTACATTGAGGCTTGATGACCTCATTTAATATGACTTCCTTTTCGCCCCTATTCCAGTCCATTGTTCCTGTTGTCTATCTCTGTGGTTCCTTGGCCCCACCGTCCTGAACTCGGAGGGAAGGAGCGAGCGAAAGTTGTGGACGATGGTCTGCTATCGTGACATGTACTTATTGATCTTCTTTGTGTCGACATGTTGTCTGCATGATTCTGCATTCCCCACTTCTTAGGACTCTTTCCTTGCGGGACTGCGTTTTGGGGCATACGACTCTTTCCCACCTTTGCAACCCCTGTATATGGGGCGTACGCTCCAAATCTCCTTGAAATGCGGCTGAAGAAACTGATGGCAAAGCATCCGAAACGCTCTGTACCTCACACTCATATAGTTTCCAGGCTGAGGTCTAGCCCAGCCCAGCTCATGGGTGTGACATCAGAGCCCAAAATCTGGAACTCACCTCAAATGGCCTGGGTCTCTCAGGCGCTTTGGACGCGATGTACTGAATACCACCAAACCAAAAAGCCATCTGAAAAACGTGACCACAAAGGAGGGCCAACTCATAAGGGTTGCCTCTGACACAAACGTGCACCCTTGGTTTTGTTTCATGGCTTCTGTAACTTGTGACCGGTTCGGACGCTTCTTCCCAGTACAGTCGGGGTGGGGTCTGGATCCCCGAACCGAAGCTCAAAAAACCAGGGCTGCCCTTCACGTCCATCGCGTCGTCGTGGTTCGCCGGTTCCCCGGTTTTGGGAGTTCAGAAGTCTATCCCTGGGGATCCACATACCTTCTCAGAAGGTACGACTGGGCCCTCCAAGCCTACAAAAACAGTCTCCAATCACCGTACCTGACAAGGTACTTGGATCGCTAGGGTGTGTATATCCACATTTATATACCCACCCTGTGTGGGGGTTCTGTCGGAACGGCTCCCAGGACTAGGGCTAGGTGTTGGGACCAAAACGCATCTCGTCCGCCCGTTTTCGGAGACCCAGGGCCATTGAAACGAAACAACTCTGCACCAGTCGGATGGCACAGTCTCGGCCAATATGACCACCTTCGTTCTGCCTGCATTCCGGGATCCGAAGGCACTCAGTCCCCTTTGTTGCTGCTGCTGTTGTGGCTGCTGCTAAGCCTCGCCGTGATCGTGGTGCCACAGGTGAGGTTGGGGAGCTGACCGCTGACCTACAAATTCAACTTAGATTGTGTCTTCGAGCTTACTAGTAGTAACAAGTGCATCGCTAGTAGTCACAAGTGCCTTACTAGTAGTAACAAGAAGCTATTACTTTCTTCCAAAAAAGGTTTCTGTTTCAATTTGAGGCTCTTCCGATCCTCGGGACTCGGAGTCGCATCGAGTCGCTTGAGTCGCTGGTATCTTCCCACTCTCCATGAGTCGACATGACGTGAAGGACTGAGCGTTGGTTACCACGTTTCAGTGTCAAACCGCAGGTGGTCAGTATGCATCTCATCCATCCTGTGGGTGTTTGCGTGGGTTAACACACACCCTCGTATAGAACAATGTGGTTATGATTAATGATTAATCGTTTATCTAGCATCGAAAACCATGGACTGGTTCAACAAAGTACGCAATCGTTCAATCGACGATGTCCATGTGATGGATGGTAAAATCATATAACATCCGATGGGTCCAACATCCGATCGAGCCCCTCTGAAACGCTGATGGAATAACCAAAGCCTGGAGGTCAGGACTGGCAGTCTAGATTGGATACCGAGCCTTCCCTCCTGCGACCAAACCGTCGAAAACGTGAACCTCCGCAGTAAAAACCGTCACCCACCCATGTGCACCCTTTGTCTGACGTTTTAATCGAGTGGCGTGAAGTCGCTACCGTCACCCTTCTTGCCCAGGTAATGGGCCAAAGACTTCTGAATCCTTGGCACCGCCCTAGCACCGCTAGTCGCTGCGCTCCTGTTTTGGTCGGGGAGCGACAGATGACAGATTGACCCCTGTCGGTGCAGCATGGTGCAGCTGTGTGGGGTGGTTTGCCTCTGGCACCCTGAGAATAGATGGTCAGATTGTGGGCGGAAAACAACAGGACATGTGTAGAGATCCGCAAGTCTGCCTTAACATAGGAGGTAAACCTAACACCAAATTTTGGCTTTGTGGACGTTGCGAGTTGGGAGTTAAAGTTACCTAACACTCCAACTGGAGGACTCCTGAAACCTCCACCATAGCGACTCTATGGATCTCTTTTGCACCCAGTCGAACAAGTTGATTTTACCTCAAACTGCTGTGACTGCTTTATGTTCGAGGAATGATGCCGGGTGCATTTTGTGTTTCGTGTTGTTCTGCATGTCCGGTGATCCACTCACTGTCCTGTGATCCACTCACCCTAGCAACAGTTGATATGCTATGACGGTAGATCAGGACCCCTTGATTGAAATCATGATGTGGCTTTGGACGGTGGGGAAAAGAACCTGTGATCAATGTTCGACCGTATGGCATAGATATATATATATATATTTGACATTATTTGACATGCAATAAGACTAAGGGACAGTGGGTTGAGGCAATCATTCGCAACATCGAGTCATTGATTGTTCCGTCGGGAATGAATGGCCTTCCCTGTCCACCACAATGGGGTTGAACCGCCTTGACCCCGTGCACTGTTTTTCAAAGTCGTCCCGCTACTGATCCATCCAAGCAACGTCTTTTGGATCATCCTTGGGGATGGCAGCTGTGACACAGGCCCAGGGGCTGAGGAACAACCTGTTATTTGCAAAAATAGTATGTGGCTATATGGCCACAATTGCCATATATATATATATGGCATGCAAGGAGGTAGAAACATCGAAACATGTGGAATGTGGTTTTTTGTTTCCTTTCAGGTGGGTTCAAGTCTCACTTTTTGATGTTATGTTTTGGGGGTGGTTACCCTAGATTTCCCTTATTATCATCAAAAGGCCACACTTTACTTTGAACGGGCCCAGAACCCTTCCAAGATACGCGAGAGATCTCTTGAGGGACGATAAGGGTTTGACCTAGGGTGCTCACCGGTCTGGCCAATTCGATGCAATTAACTTAACGACATATTCATGCCTCGAAGTGCATTTCGACTTCGCAGGCTCGCACAAACTGGTTCCTTGACTGCGCTCTCATTGTGGTATCGTGCACATTTGTTGGACTTGGTGGTCATGCTTGTTGTGGGAGGTGCAGTAGATCGGAGCTGCTTTTCTTCGATGTGTGATTTCGTGGCAGGCGCAGCACTTTGGTGGTCATCTTTGGCGTGCTCTGATTTCACAGCAGGTGCAGTGAATCGTGAACTGTGGACATACGCTCGTTTCTGGACTAAGTATCACTCGAAAGCTTTTCTGCGGTATCTCAAACTTGTTTGTGGAAGTGCTTATGTTGCGAAACGTACTCGCAGGGCTGTGCAGTGTGATGAAGTGCAGGTTTTGTGGCAGGCGCAGCACTTTGACTGCCAAGCCAAGATTTTACGGCAGGTGCTGCATGTACTGTGTGTGTGACGCTCGAAGTGAAGATTTCGTGGCGCAGCGCGTTGTAAAACCTCAAAAAAGTGTGGGTACCGGAAAGCGCACCTAATATATATATATATACTGTATATATATATATCCAGTGTTTGCTCTCACTTGACTTGAGTTCTCACACATGTCGCTTCTCTATCATAATTGTTCTCTCATTTGTGTGCTCAGAAATGTGTGCTGTCCTGTGTTCGTTCTCACCTGTGTGCTCTCATTTGTGTACTCGCATGTGTGTGTGTGTGTGATCTCTCATATGTGTGCTCTCTTGTGCTTGCTCACATATGTGATATGTGTGCTCTCATGCCTTTGTTCAGTTTTGTGTGTGTGCTTACATATGTGTGCTCTCATAGGTGTTCGCTCTCACATGTGCTCTCTTAAGTTTGCTCTCATGTTTGCGCGCGCAAGTGCTCTCATGCCTGCTCATGTGTTTGCTCCCATATCTGTGCTCTGATGTGTTTCATCTCATCTATCCTCCCACATCTGTGCTCTTATATGTATGACCTCATGTGTGTACTCTCATGTTTGAACTCTCGCATACTCGTGCTATCTCGATCTCTCTTGTGTGCGTGTGTCTATATATGTGCTCTCATATGGGTGTTTCCTCTGCCTATCATATCTGTTTGCAATGTGTGTGCTCTCATATGCATGCTCTCACTGTGTGTGTATGTGTGCGCGCTGTCTCATATGTGTGCGCTCTAGAGTGCTGAAGTTGACCCCCCTAACACTGTTTGGTGTCTCACTCGTTACGAGACGTTTTAGATTGGTGTCCAATAAAAGCAACGAACACAAAACTCGTATGTGGTAAGGACATGAAGGCATTCTTTGCCTGAATTGTCAGGCAACACAAACTTGGCCCTGAGGGTTGGCTGCTGAACAGGGAAACTTCTCCGCATGGAGTGCCAGTTAATTGCGTAAGTCGGTCCCACAATACATGATGGGCTTTGATTTGGGTCAAATGGCTTTGCACTCTGCCAAACACTGGCCCATGGGAATTGTCAAACTCCTCAGGTGCCCCCTTATAACTCTTATATGTTTGAGCCTGCTGAAACAAACCTTTATCAACAGGCGCATCCCCCAGAGAGGCAGGAGCTTTACAAAGCTGACCCAATCATCCAGCCTCTGCGCCCCGAAGCCTGACGACTGGAGTATAGTCTCAGGCGCTTGTCTTGACTCTGGTCATTATCCTCGTTCTTTTCGGGCCATGGCAATGATGGATCCGTCTGTCCTCCAAAACGGATGATTTGGTCCTGGCGCTGCACCGTCTGCACTGCGGTCACACGGTCACACGGACTCTTGGCGTCTTCGTCTTCGGGGATTGAACTTCTGAAAGGCGCGGATGGAAGAGAGTCTTCCATGCGGATGGTAAGCTGTGGTCAACATGAATTCAAACACATAGAATGGTTTCCTTTCGCGCCCGAAACCTCACCCCTCACCCAACACTGTGTCATAGAGGGGGTCTTTCCCACTCTGCCCACAAATAAGCCATAGGCCGCGGCTTTGGTAGGGTGAATGGGTTACGGTAATAGGTGCTGAACATCGCGGAACTTGCTGATCCAAACTTGAGGTCCACGTTCGACCCAGCTTGTCTCCTGTGTCTTGGGGTTTGCTCCTGCAGGCTCGAAGACTTTCACACCTGGCACGAAGAAAACGGCACATGCCGCACTAGAAGTCTGTAAGCAGGAAGCATCGCGGCAATGGCACTCCACCAGAGTGGCCGCTTGAAAATCATCGCGCTTTGCGGAACATTTATTTTGGACGATTCCAGTGTCAATCTCCAAGCTAGCTGAACCCCGGTTAACCCGTCGTCGATGCTGTCAGACGTGACGCGTAGTCAAACCTACTTCTGCTGATGACCTTGCAAGACTGAGAAGGCACATAAGTGCAAGGAGACCCATGCTTTGTACCCTTCAACAAGTGTTCTAGTTTGATAGTAGTGGTGGCGGACCCAGTTGACCCGGTTGAGCCCGGTTGACCCAGTCAGCAGTAGTAGCTTGGGGTCAAATGGGTCAACTGGGTCCGGAGATTTAGCGTGTCCCCTTGTGCGGTCGCACTGAACTACAAAGAGATACAAGTAGTATGTAGACTCAAACCTACACCCCCCCCCAAAAAAAAAAAACATCTCAAATGGGGCCATAACTGTATCCATGAAGTGACGGGTATGCCAATCCAGCAAATACGACCACCGCTCTTCCTCGGCGGCGTGCACTGACCTGCCTTTCCAGGTGACCGACCCGCCTCCGGCAAGGCCGATATCGCCCTCGTCGAAGTCCGTCCGAAGGTCGAGGGACAAGCTGAGGATGAACTGCTTCCATCGCTTCATCTGAACCGCCTGGACTCAATCGAGTGGTTCCACTCAGTATAGAGAACGAGATCTCAATCATTGTCGCAGGCAAGACACCGTCAAACCATGATGCTGTACAACACCCGACAACGTCGACCTTTGGGGTCGGCTCGAGAAAACTGGGAAAAAAGGTAAGCCCCTACAAAATTGGACCTTCTTTATTGCGAAGCTCGTTCGATTGCCAGTCAATGACCTTGATTGTGCCTTTCAAAATCCCAGACACCCTGGAAAAATCATAGACCACCTCCCGCTTTGCATCAAGAAGGATGACTTGGATCATGTAAGATACAACATCTGGACCACAGGCTGAGCGTTGAGTCCTGGTGGTCGAAGAGCCGCTAGAGATTCACATTCAGATCCCTCATGCGACTCCCTCCCCAATCAAAGATTTTCACAAAAAAAAAAATTGCCACTGGCAGCCTCATCAAAAGACTGCTGCTGGGGTCCTGTCGTCGTGCTAGGATGCAAAGCCTGATCAACGAAAGCCAGAAACTCCATTCCCAGCTACATACTCAGCTCACGCGGATCCTGCAGCCACGTGAAGACCAAAGGTGAAAAAGCTGGCGGCTTCCTTGATTGCAAGCATTAAATGATTATCTGTCTCGGAGCAATTCAGGGTCTTGGCGCAAGGCGCAAAAAAAGGGTACAGTATATGTTTGCAATGTCGTAACTACAAAAGTCCTCTTCGCACCAAAAACTTTGATTTTGGCATTACACTATGACATTTATTATTAAGAGACACCCAGCTCAGGTTTTTGGTTGGCGCCGCTGCCGGACGCAGCCATCAGGGTTTTGTGACACACAAAAGTTCATTTCAATATAGTGATAGGTATAGATGAAATAGTTGAAATCCAATTCTTATCGATTCCTAATTAATGTATAATTATGTGTATACATATACTACACCTGGAGCTTCCTCAGTGTGGTTTTATCTGCAGCATGAAACCCATCTTTTAGAGTCTATTTAAGTCGGCGGAGTTTTAGTTGTCTGATCTGTTTCTGATATTCAACGGGTGTAAGCTACAGGTGTTTATCGGTGAGCCACAGGCGTTTACCCAAACATGTGTTTTATTTCAATACGGGTGCTCCTGGGAGATGTGTTTCATGCAAACAAATAAGCAAACACATTATTTGACTGTGCTTTTTGGCTAAAACATCACCAAAACCTAGGTTTTGAGCTATATTTTGATTAATTTTGTGAGGACCAGGCCTATCACAGCTGAGAGGGGATACATTGTGTTTATATAGTGATTTTTGGCTAAAACATCACCAACAAAAACCTAGGTTTTTGTCCAGCTATTTTTAGATCTATTTTGTGAGGACCAGGCCTATAACAGTTTTGAGGGGATACTACACAACCAAAAAACAAACAAACAACAACATAAAAAAATACACAATGTTTGAGACAAAATGGGGGTACTATAGGAGTTGGATTTGTTTGTTATTTTTTGGGGGGGTGTTTTGCCTCCATTTTGTCTCAAACATTGTTTTTTTTTGTGTGTGTTTTTTTGGTTTTCTGACACGGTTGCATAGACTTCAGGGTTTGTACAACCGCTTTTGCCGAGTACTGGCGCCACTGTGCTTCCGACAGAGTTACTAAACGCAAGTCCTGCGTTGAAAATTATTTGTAGAACCCTTACTTAAAAGCCATTCAAATTTGATCAAAACAACTCTGGAAAGGCTACCCCTCATGAAGCCACCATACCCTAAATCAATTGCATCCTAAGTAAAGCCGAACATTTTTGTTGCCTGTTGTCAGTATCTAAGTAAAGTTTCATTTCATGTCCTTGTTAAATTCCTTTCTCAGAGGTCTCTTTCTTCTCAATTCCAGGAACCTGTTCCAACCAAAACATCATTTCCTTATTGATGACATTGCACATCCAGACTGGGCACAGGAACGTTGAACAAAATGTGTTTCGCCTAGGTCCCAGAGCAGTTTTTGAAACGTTGCACGGTATTTACAGTGTGTTCTAAAGGTTTTGAGCTAGTGTGCGCTCTCCCAAGCACACCCGCCCTCCAATTTTTTCCCGCGGATGTTTATTTTGGTTGTGGATCTTTATGTGGTCCACAGACCTAAAATAAGGTATGTTGAACTACCGACCAAAAACACACAAAAAACACTTGCAGGTATTAGGTACCGTATATATTGTGTTCTGTGTAATTTGTTGGCTTGTAGAAACAGGAATGCAAGCAAAGATCTGCTGAACTCAGTGTGCTGCTGGCCTGGAACTGAGCATGACCAGCAAAAGCGTCCATTTCACCAACATAATCGATTGGATGCGGGAGCCTCTTGTTGTATTGCTCCAGTCTGCAATCTCAGGACATATCTCATGGCCCAGCTGAGTAGAACATCTCTCACGGACAGCACTAAGCAATTTGCAACATTCCACCCTCAAAGAGGGATCAACACACCAAGGGTCATGGGATTAGACGAATGACCAATACCATGACCCGAGAGAGAAGACTCTGGACCCTTAAGGAGCGCCTTTGAGTGACTGTCAGGGGCACCCTTCCAACCCTACGTTCCAAGTCGCTTGGAACGCTACTTTCCACCCGAAAAAAAAGACAGGACTCCTCACAAACAGGTCGCTCTCACTATCACTGCTAGTCTAGTCGTGCAGAACCCAAGAAGAACCGCCACGGACGGTCTCCCATGCTGCCTTGAGCGTGTCCAAGATGACGTCGCCCCTGGACAGGCGTGCATGGCCTTCGCTATCGGCAGCCAAGGAGGCGTAGACACCACAGAACTGCCTGCACCGGGACGTTCGTCCAGCCACTCGGTGTTGCGGAAGTTCCGAAACAAAAAGAGACACGTGGCGAAGGAAGGGCGAAGGACGGATGAAAAAGACACGTTCGCAAGTCACTGAGCCCATCCTGTTCATGCTCGTCTCTTTAATCCCCTAAGGCGACCTGTGCCGAGCTCTCGCACCAGTCAGCTTCTAGGATTCCTAGTTGTTGAACAGCACCTTATATATATATATATCCTAATGATCATAGAACCTCTCTAACCTCAGAGCTTGAACAGCAAGTCATACCGCCACCAAACGCGGTGTTTTTGATCACCAAAATGCCCAGAAGACCTCCGGCGGTCGGTGTTGACCGTGACCGAACATACCGTCGCTTGGTACCGATGAAAAACGGCCCAAGGCACGAGACCAAGAGGTTGAAGAAGAAGCTGTAGACCAGGAGCATGAACGAAGCCAGGATCTGAGACCGGACTGACCCAATGGGTCTGCCCGGTGTGTGCGCCGCGAAGCAAAGCGATGTGGCGAAAAGCGCGTGTTCTGAGGCGCGAGTGTTTAGGGTTCTGTGACGAAAGACCAAAGGACAAGACCAAACGACAAGACCAATGACCAAATCGGAATTGGGGTAAGTCCACTTCCGAAGCTCCCGTGTTCAAACCCTTCCGAAGCTCCCATGCAGGATGATCTAATCCGATAAGTTCTCGGGTCAAAACTTGTTCCCGTGTCCTCTTCGAGCTTATAGAGTGCTCTGTTCCAAAACAAAAGAACGTGCTTGAATCAGCAAACTCGCTGCAAGCAAACCAAAAAATAAACAATATATATATTATGAAATGCATATATTATATATCCAATTATATCCATGGATTCACCACAAATACGCAAGCATTGCCCAATGCTAGCAATCGACTGGGGTGAAAAAACAAATTTGAAATCGAGAGAGGCCGAAAAATATAGCAGCAGCGTACCAATGATTAGCATCTGTGTTACACTGCTAATCAAGTAAAAATTCTGGAATTCGAGTTCCATCAGAAACTCAATCTGCACAGAACTGGGATAAGCCACAGGTCCACATCTAAAAATGGTCAAGGAGAAGTCAATAATTCCGGTCCAGGGACATTTCCGAATGGTCCATTGTATGTTCCAGTCATGCAGCCTTAGTGCTGTTCCAGTCTGGGTGCACAAGCACATGCCACTTCTTTCAATCGAAGTCAAAAGGCTGACCAAAGTCACTGGTCTATCATGGTCTATCCAGTGCTCAAGGTCTCAAAGCTGTTGGGATGGTTGCCAGCGCCTTTGGAGTTACAGTTTGTGTATGGAACTATCAAAAAATTAGACCGAGACCTTGGGGAGAGTTTTGGTGACCATTTTGTCGGTCAATCGACCGATGTCAATTTTCGACGGATCCTCTCGAGATCCAGCACCCTCCGAACCCTGCAAGTTCTCGTCTCTTCGCCAAGGCACGATGAGGAGAAACGGACTCTCATCCGCAATGTTGCTGAGCTCTCCCTCAACGTGCGAAGACGCTGCGTCGAGAGACGCAACAAAAAAAGCGCCAAGTTGGCGCGTTCTGGTCAGTCGATCGACCGATTTTTTCCAAGACTCTGCTCTGAAAAAACACATCGGGACAAAGACCCGGTTCAGGCGCACGCGGGCGAACGAGGCCGAAGCTGCGACACGAAGAAGCCGTCATGACATGTGGTCTGAAGCATCTGGAAACAAAAGGACTTTTCCATGCCAATCAAGTTGGCAAAGCTTCCCACGTCCACTGCACCCAATAATGGTATTGCACAATGCTCGGAGTCATATTTTTGAGCTGGACATGCATGATCATAGAGCCAGGTTTTAATCGTCCAAGGCTCTAAGTCCAGCATGCCAACAGCGAGTTGAAAGAGATTGCTCATGGTCACCCCCAAGTTGTTCCACTCCTCAGGTTGAGATGAACCCGCCGATATTCCGCGCATCTGTACGCATGGCTGTGGGTCATGGCAGATTGGGCGACCTTGCTTTTTCCTAGGAACAATGAAAGGACAAACCGACCAAGAGGTCAACCTACGGAGGTCAAGGGCTCTGGGTCTCCAGGTGCCATGCCGAGCCACAGGTGCCCTCCCATGTAGCTCCCATTTGGGCGCCGCGGAAAAAGAACCAGCGAAGACAGGACAAGGCGATGCCCAGTGGTTCATGCTGAGCGGAAATGATCCTCTGGGGGGTGGGACAGGCGTGTGAATGACCTTCCGATGAACCCGTTCAAGTGAAAACCAGGACAAGTTACCTGCTTTGGATAGGGTCATCTCCCGTTTTGGGGACTTTGGAGGGTCCCAGGTACGCGTAATCTTGGGGTAAGCTGATGCCAAAGTATGCCACAACAGTCTCACAATAGTCTCCAACTAAATGGGGAGACCGGCGAGACCCCTGGCCCGGTTTTGCGAAGACAGGGCTCATGAGACCCACTGGAGTTGGTTGCACCTTGTTGGACAGCAACACCCCGGAATTCGCCACAAGTGACTCTCGCAAGCGGGTCACAGTGGCCCCAGGTGACGCCTGTTCAAGGTGGCCTTGTACTTCTGTTCAATCAGAGAGTCTTTTCCCAGAAAATAAAGGCCAAGAGACTCTGTCATTTGAAACATGAGTCGTCAAAAGCCAAGACTTTAACCAGCTTCACAGCTCATAGACTCTGTCATTTGCTTTCATGACTCTCAGCCTTTTCGGTAAGTAAGGATTGTGTACCAGCACGGAAGTCAAGCAAAACATTGGTCACCCAAACATGAAAGTTAAGACTTGCGACGACAGGCAACCACTGGAAATGTAGATTTTTCTTTTTTGTGAGGTCCTGAGGAAGGAACTCAGCAAGAAAATAGTGAACATAGGTTGGGGTGTTCGTGCAACATGTGGAAAATGAAAGCAATCAACAAGTGATTGCGGAGACATAGGAAAGCAAAGCATGGACAGGAACATAGTGAGCAAATAGCAAGAACATAGTGAGCATACTGACTGACATATTGTGAAACGCCTCCCGAAACGACACGTGACGTTTATATTTTAGGATATATTAGGTCTCGATTCTGGATTGCTTTTTTGATAACATTTTGGTTACTTTGTTTTGCTTTCTTCTTGCTTTTGGTATCCACATATTTCAATCACATCACCTTTGGATCGCTTTCTGCTCACCTTTCCGCTCACTGTTTTTTTTGACTTGTCTCCTATCCTGCACTCTGAGATTGCTTTTCGTTTGCTCCAACTCCTACTCCGAAATCACTAAATAAAAAATATGTTGGCCACCCTCAGCGGTTGGCTGGACTCCATCTCTTAACATGAAAGTCAAGGATCTGGGCTTGAGAGGTTCCCAACCTGCACGGCGACGAGAAAACTACTTTGCAAAACGTCGACGCAACATGTCCGACCCGTGCGGTCAAAAATACAAAGTACAGAAAAGAAGTCCAATTGACACACCTGGCATTGAAATCAATACATATTAATGCCGCCACTACTAGTAAGTCTATAATCTACAACCTTGGCATTTTTGAGCCCCAAGTCTTGTCAAGCTGTACCCGTGCCTCAAACTTGGAAGCTATTCCCACACTTGCCAGGAACTTCAATGAACACCACATTTCAATGGATGATTCACATAAAAGGGACAGTGGGAATATGTGGGAATACTGATGTTAATCACACTGCACCAAAACACGAAAATGCACTTCAGCAATACCAAGTTCCGACAGCGATCATCGTTTGGTCTAGTCTTCATGCCAAAAACACCGGTCTCCCCGGTCTCTTTCGGGAAAAGCAGCGCATGTCGGAACCGGCGACGAATGGAGCGACGAGCTGTTCGTGCTCGGCCTCCCGAGTCATGGCCGTGATGGCAAAGCCAAAGGTGAAGATTGCCAGCGTGATGACACCAAAGCACAGCATCACCTGCCCACTCTCGGTCACAGGCTGTGTCAACCGAACCGTCTTGCCCAGGTGGAAACGACCGGGAGGACAAATCATAGACTGTCATAGACAGGATGGTTCAGGTCTTTTTTAATTGGTGATGGGGAACGTGTTCTGCTGTTCTTTGAGTCACTTTTTGGTTCGCGGGGAGGGCGATCAAGGCTTCCATTGGCTTCATGTCGCAGATTGAGGAGCGCCACTGACAATTGGACTCCACTCCAAACCCAGCTTTCCAGTGACAAACATGGATAGCAAGAAGGGATTCTTCCAGTCCCACCATACCACCAGACCGGTTAAACTTTTGGGTTATGTGTAGACTCATTGAGAAGTGTCCTATCTTCATCTCTTTTGGAAAGAACAGCGTCCAGGACTGTCCGCGAGTTTTTCAGTGCCAGGACCTGATTGGTTCTATAGCTCTCTGAAAGTCAGGATCGAAGGATAGTGAAAGTAGACTCTGAGCAGGCGTGTATTCAGACTATACGTGTCATGCAACAAGAATCGCAGTCTGACTCCTTACGTTTCCCTGGAAAATAAACATGTTTCCACCTGTTCGCATCTCTTGCTCCAGTTCTTGGGGAAGCTAACCCCCCGATTTCTGGTGACCGCAGGTGATCAACTTTTGCTGTGAAACGTATGATTTACCATGGGCTACCATCTGAACAGCTGGTAAAATCATGGTAACCATGGTCAATCATGGTTGATCATCTTGCGATGCTTGACTTCAACCAGCTGCCTGCTCCCCGGGCCCGCTCCCGCCCGCTCCCTCCCGTCCACAAACGGAAGACGGCCCCACTTCGCTCCGAGCTGAGCCCGGCGCTCCGTTCACACGGTTCTTTTTTTGTTTTCGCACGGTTGTCGTATAGGAAGGCTGGCTGGATGGATGGATGGATGGAGGTCCCGAATAGATAGTGGCACGGTGTCCAATATATTTTCTACATGGGGATATATATATATAGGGATCTACTTTTCTATCTATGACATGGGGTCTGTATCATGAAGGCACTGAAGGCACCTGTTTCACAGCGCGCAAGCACAGCACGCGGTACTCCGAGATCTGGATGGAGATGCTGCTGCCGATGCCGAAGATCAGGACCACATACCTGATCTGCGTTGATGGAAGTCGGTCGTTTGCATCGCCCAAGGGTCCCCAAATGGACAAACTCCCTCAAGTACTGTGTATGGAATTGGACATCAGATGCGCTACTCTTGATGGTGAAAGGAATCCTGTACAAGCATTAGCAGTTATGGTGGTAGAACGGTAGGTTCTTGTGACACTTGTGGCAAACACCTCCAACACATCAGCACCTGCGACTGGCCAAGAACCGACCTGGGAGGGGCCTGGCCCCTCGCTGTTCCGAGCTCCGAGCTGGCGATGCCAACGCCCATTTAAAGGAACCGCGCAAGACGAGCAATACAAGCGCACACCATTTTTCGGAGTTGATGCCATCTTAGCACTGATTTGCAATCTATATATAGGACCACATGTCACCATATGGCTGTGGGTCAAGACTAGGAGACCGACTGGTTGACCTACCGACGTGAGGGTCGTTCGCTACATGGTAGACTGGTCGGGCTCCAGGTTTTGACCCATCCCCATAAGACACCATGCATACACCATTGTACACCAATGTGTACGCCACGCTCCCATACGCCACGCTCCTGTCGGCTTTCGGGGATTACGCTCATGTCGGCGAGCAACGTCTGCTGAGTGACCCAGGGTCCTGCGGAGGGTCCTGTGGATCCACCCTGGTGAGACACCCTGGTCCGCTTCCGCCCAGGCGACAATATGATACCCATTACCAAGAAGAACTCATAGGCCAAGCTCAAAATATCTGTGTACTGCTCACATTGGAACTCCAGCAAAGCCTGCAACAAAGCTGAGCGGTCGATGTGCGGTCGTTTGCGGAATTATATAGGCCTCCATGGATCTAGGTCAAGCATTCGACGCATTCGAGGAAACTCATCCGATTTTGTCGCCAGCAGTTTCACCACAAGTAGCATCTTCCGCGTTTCGGTGATGGTTGTAAAGAACAATGTCTTCGTCCAAGCATCCACATGTGGGTCCAAAGCGATCCAAAAAGAGCTTTCTCTTCAGTTTGCTGTAATCCCCGACAGCCCTTGGTTCTCTGAAACGATGAGATTTGAGACAGTAGACCCAGCTCATATGCTGCTCCGACCCGAGTTTAGGAGTTTAGGACAACTCGTCTGATCTGAAAGAGGCACTTCGATGGCTTCGGGGAAGTTTTGGTCCTGCTTCTGGGAAGACAGCATCTAGCTGCAAAAAATAACTTCAAAACTCATTTCGAGTGTGTTATCCTCCGTTGCTTTGTGGCTGTCCCAGCTGATACATCCCTTCCACATCTATCCCCGCTACCACTGACCGGCAAAAAGAAACACCAAAAGACTGAGCCAGCACCTGTCTGGCGGTCTGGGCGCGGTCTGGGTGCGCCCAGGGTCATGACCCAGTGCGACCGGTCTCGTCACCGACTGGTCTCGCGCGCCCATGGAAAGCGCGAGCGACCGTGGCCGTCCCAGGCCTCTGAACTTCCAAAGCAGTGAACCATTGGCTCCACCTGATGGAGAGCGTCCAGTCCGTCCCTCACGTCCAGAGCGTCTGGTGTCGCATGGCCCAGGTGCCACGAACGGCCCGAACGGTGTGCATGGCGCCAACACCTAAAGTTACACGTTGAGTGATTGGTGATACCACGCTGGTCCAAGTGATGCCGTGAGGGATGTGATACCGTGACCCCTTAAATGGTCATCTTTAATCTTTTGCACTAGTTGCCACATTGCCTCATTGACCCAGAGGATGGTTGAAAGCATTGATATGAAATTGGTACCTTGGGGGTAGCAGTTCTATGGTGCTAGAAGTGTGGGACCCGACCTCCGTCAACAGGTGACCTCTACAAACTCAATGTTAACAGTCAAGATAAAAGGTTTCAGCTCCATAGAACTGAGGGTCATGGACCCAAAACTCGAGAACCTTGATGATAGTGCTCTATGAAATGCTGGTCCTGGGGCCGCATGCTTTTCGTTCATCGTTTTGAAGGGTAGAACTATGGATAATAGAGGATTAACAAACATTGATCATGCCTCTGGAGCCAAATAACAACTTGTCCAGGTCCCAGGTCCCAGGTCCCGGACCTGGCATCAACTCACCGGGTATGGCGTTCAACAAAGCGTCCATGGGCCCCGACGCCCAGGTTATCGTCCTCTCGGTGGCAAGTAGAGTGGTGGCTGATCAGAAGCCAACAAGAACGAACGAAGAAATGCACCATGGAGAATGGTGAAAACACTGTAATGAATGGTGGGGGGCGAAAGAACAAAGATAAACAGGAACAATTTGTGTCAAAAACACGGACGTGCAACACCCCAACGAGAAGATCTCAGGTCTCAGACTTAACCCCCAATCAACGGCTGGTGGTGAACTGCTTGTAGGTCAACCCCGGGAAACATCCAACTGCCGCCCCCCCCGGCCGTGAGCATGAAGGCCATATTGATCATCAAGGCAAAGCTGAGCATTTCGGTGCTCTTGAGAAGGTAAGTCGGAATCCGCAGACCACAAATGTATTTCCACTCCTGGCGTGCCGTTTTCGCTGTATCCAGAAAGTGGGTGGGTATGGGTGCTTCTATATCACAAGTAGCGCGGCAAAAACACCATTGACCTTGTCTAGAGTCTACAGCAAATGCTATATACCCAAAGACCTGCAGGAAAACACCTGTTTATCGAAGCACCTGTCGGCTGGAGGACTTGTAGAGCTCAAAAATGTGGGAGTAGAGCAATTTCCCAAAGCCCATGGTGTAGACCAAGAGTCGTGCTGCGGCGAGAAACTTGGAAGCCCTGAGCGAGTACAGAACGCCCCAACGGGGTGCGTTCTTGGAGGAAGTCGGGGTGCCCTTGATCCACTCACTCAAAGACTACTAAAAACCGCCCCTTTGTGACTTCTGGTATATAACCAAATTATTTGTGTGTGTTGTTTTTCGCTCCCTCCGCGTCTCTCTCCCTCTTCAACTGCATTGCTTTTAGACGTCAGTATTCCTTCGCCGAGATGATCGGATTCCTTCGATCAACGGCGGGAAGCCGAGTACGTCTGAGCTCACTGAGTACGGCCTGTCAATCTGCCCAGCATGGCGGGAAACCAACTGTTACCAGTAGTGAATCGTAATCTACCTCGACCCCAAAGGGGTGGGAAGGATGAGATGGTCAAACGTGTTGTCTTGCGAGATGGCGTGAGATGGTCAAAGGATGTCAAAGGGATGTCCGGTGAGTTTGAACGATTTCCCATCTCCACCCCCTTGCTGAAGTGCAAGAAACATGTGTCACGATGACTCATATGTCCAAACTCAGAAAAGCAAGTGGCTGAACGCATTCCTAGGGTGGAGGCCATCGCTACTAGGAGCAAGGACGCTA